GAAATGTTGATTGGTTGCCTCCCGCATCCACCCAGACCAGGATTGATCCCACAATCTGGGCATGTGCCCTGATGAGGAATCGAACTGGCAACCTTTCGGTGCATGGGAAGATGCTCAACCAACTGAGCCACATGGACCAGGGCCAAATGCTTTTTTTAGTGATTTCAGAGAGAGGAAGGGAGAAGGAGGGGGAGAGAGGTAGAAACATCAATGATGAGAGAGAATCATTGATTGGCTGCCTCCTGCACACCCGCTACTGGGGATGGAGCCCGTACCCTGACAGGGAATCGAACCAGATCTGGTTCATGGGTTGACACTCAACCACTGAGCAACACCGGGCAGGCCAAATGCAGTAGTAGTAATAATAATAATAATAATAATAATCCACACTTGTAAATGATCATTTTGGTAAACTATCATTTTGGGAGGCATTTTTTTTAGTCTGTTGAGATCTTACTTCCAGGCATATCCTGTTTGGTTCAAAGAAACTCAAACTCTAACAATTATCTACAGGCTTGAACATTTCTTACCAAGTTGACAGCTCTTAACTAGATTTGAAACTCTTAAATGAAGGATCTTTGTCAACAAATTCTTTGAGATCATGGGGTAACCTATTTTCCAATGAAGCTAATGTAATCTTAGACTGTATTAAAGAAATTCAGTCTAGAATGAAAGACACAGTCGTGACGGCCCTGCTCTACCCACACTCTGGTACCATACTTGGAGAAATGCTTTAACAAATCAGGGTAGAGGACTGTAAATGAATGTACCAGAAAGCTGAGGATGTTAAGCGTGGTACACAGATGCCTTAAAAAAAATTCAAAGGCTGTCTTCAAACACATAGAGCTTTCAGCAGACTAGCCTTTCTCCATATTTCGTAAGCAGAGGTTGGCAGCAGGGCCAGTATATGGCAGAAGTTTCTAATGATTACAACTGTTCATAGGTAATAAAAGGGCCAGTGGAAATGTCCCAGAAGTACATCCAGCCAGCAGGATGTGGTCAGGGTAGGAAAGACATCTCACCAATAGGAGGTCTGCAAGGAACTCCCAGCCATGCTTCCTTCCTCTTCCCCACAGGGAAAGAACTGCCACCAGTCCTCACTGGGCATTCAATACATACTTTGCTGAACAAATCAAGTCATTAAGAGGATCAGGCCAGAACATGGGAGAGCAGCTTGCTTGCCTTGCCCTCCCCTACATCCCACCAGCAAGCTTGTCAGCTCTGCTTGCAAAGTATATCTGGACCCAGGACACGACTTATCACCGTGGCCACCGCCAACACTCCAGTCCAAGCACCATCATCTCCAGACCTCTTTTTGCTGATCGCCCTGCTTCGCTCTTGCCCACCCCCAACCCGACGCCTATTCTCAAAATAGGTAGAGTAATCTTTAAAATGTACACCTCTCCCCGGTGTAAACTCTCCCACACTCCTACACTCTCCGCTCCGCCGACACCAGTCCTGCCTGTCCCTCAATCTGCAAAACTGGCCCGACTTCAGAGCCTTTGCCTCTGCTGTGCCACCTGAACTGCTCTTCCCCCAGATCTCGTACGGTTGGTTCCTTCCTCTGTTTCAGATCTGACCTCAAACACGCTCTCCTCGCAAAGACATTGCCTGACCACCCAACCCCACTCTCCCAGGAGCTTGTCTCGGCATCTTGCTGTTTCCCATCCCTGAGTCTCTCCTCCGTCGCTCCAGAACGTGAGCCCCGAAAGCCCGGCGCACGCCTCGCATCGCTGTTCCCAGCGCCCGCAGTTGGGAGTGTTATGCGTTTCTCCCCGAATCCTGGACCCCAAACAGACTCGCACCTTCTTCCAGTGGCTCCAAACCTGTCCCATAGCTGACCAAGTCCTCCTCGCTGTCACTGTCCGGGGCCGCCATCCTGCTCCCTGCCGGCCCCGCCTCCTAGCTACGGGGGCCTCGACAGGCCAAAAGCCTTCCGCTCTTTCCGCTCCGCAAACCTAAGCCTCTGGCCCAGTGATTCTCAACCTTCTGGCCCTTTAAATACAGTTCCTCATGTTGGGACCCAACCATAAAATTATTTTCGTTGCTACTTCATAACTGTAATGTTGCTACTGTTATGAATCGTAATGTAAATATCTGATATGCAGGATGGTCTTAGGCGACCCCTGTGGAAGGGTTGTTGGACCGCCAAAGGGGTCGCGACCCACAGGTTGAGAACCGCTGAAAGTCTGGCCTCAGATCTGCGCCTAGGAGGTCTCAAACCCGTCTGCAGGAGGCGGACCTGGAAGGCGTTGCCTCGGAGACCAGTGAAGGCACAACAGCCCTCCTTAGGAGACGCCTTGAGAGAAGCTGGAAAACACCCAGCTGACCGGCCAGCGGGAGGGCTCCCCTTGCCCTGACTGCCAGCAGATACCCCTCCGCACCACCCCACCCCCTGCTGGGAAAGTCCCTGTGCTCCCAGATGCACTCAGGCGGCACAGCCCCTTTCCAGACCTCTGGAGGGATGCACAGACCCGGAAACCCCGTTGCTCAGCGTGAAGGAAGCCAGGGCAACACTTGATCAAAAGAGAAAAGTAAACGAGAGCATAAAAGAAAAGGGTAAGGAGGAGGCTGGGGAGAAGTATAGAGAGAGAGAAAAAAGGAAATCTGAAAAGAGAAAGAAAACCAGGAAGCGGAAAGAAAAAGCAAGCAGGCAAGGAAAAGGTGGCTGTGAGGTGGATGGGGGCTCCCTTACTGAACCAAAGAAACAAACATCTCAACAAACGACAAGTGCTGGAGAGGATTCGGAGAAAAAGGAACCCTCCTGCACTGCTGGTGGGAATGCAGACTGGTGCAGCCGCTGTGGAAGACAGTATGGAGTTTCCTCAAAAAAACTAAAAATGGAACTCCCATTTGACCCTGTGATCCCACTTCTAGGAATATATCCCAAGAAACCAGAAACACCAATCAGAAAGGATATATGCACCCCTATGTTCATAGCAGCACAATTCACCATAGCTAAGATTCGGAAACAGCCTAAGTGCCCATCAGCAAATGAGTGGATTAGAAAACTGTGTTACATCTACACAATGGAATACTATGCTGCTGTAAAAAAAGAAGGAATTCTTACCATTTGCCACAGCATGGATGGAATTGGAGAGCATTATGCTAAGTGAAATCAGCCAGTCAATGAAAGACAAATACATGATCTCACTCATTAGTAGATAATAAAGACCATTATAAACTGATGAACAAAAATAGATACAGAGGTAGATCAGCATGGAACAGACAAACTACAGCAGGAAGGCTGGGGAGGCTTGGGGGCAGGAGGTAAGAGATCAACCAAAGGACTTGTATGCATGCATATAAGCATAACCAATGGACGCAAGATACTGGGGGGTAGGGGAGGCTGGAGGAAAGTCAAGGGGGGGGGAAAAGAGAGACATATGTACTACTCTTTGTAATACTTTAAGCAAAAAACAAATAAAAAAAAGAAAAAAATGTTCAAACAGCTACCTTGGTTGCAGCCACATCCCCAGTGGGGAGTGTGCAGGAGGCAGCTGATTGATGTTTCTCTCTCATCGATGTTTCTAACTCTCTATCCCTCTCCCTTCCTCTCTGTAAAAAAATCAATAAAATATATTTAAAAAAAAGAAAAGAAACAAACATCTGTTAAATCGGGTGCTGTTATCCTACCCCAAAGTATTTTTACATTAGAGGAAAATGAAGCTGTTAGTAAGGGATAAGGCTGAGCTAAAAACAGACCTAGAAGCCCAAGTTTTCAAAATGAGGGTCAGAAGGCTGTGAGTCAATCACTAGGCTGTTGTTAAAATGCCCCACGCACCCCCCACACCCATCCCCAGACCTCCTGAATCAGAATCTCTGGGGGTGGGGCTGTTCCTTAAATACTCCATGCACATTTGACCTCAAAGCCTTTGCAGTCTCTGTTCTCTCTGCTTACAATGGTCTTCTCCCGGATACCACATGACTCATTGCCTCGCCTTCTTCACGTCTCTGCTCAGAGGTTCTTTCTCAGTGAAGCCTTCTCTGACCCTATATTTTTAACACAATATATATTTGATTTACTTTATTATATCTATTGTCTTTCTCCATTGGAATGTAAGCTCCACAAGAACACAGATTTGGACCAGGGTTTTGTTTTGTTTTTTCTTTGCTGTATCCTCAGAGATCAGAATAATGATTAGCAGGTGATAATTTTTTTAAATATATTTTATTGAGAGGAAGGGAGAGGGATAGAGAGCTAGAAACATTGATGAGAGAGAAACATCAATCAGCTGCCTCTTGCACACTCCCCACTGGGGATGTGCCCGGAACCAAGGTACATGCCCTTGACTGGAATCGAACCTGGGACCCTTCAGTCCGCAGGCCAACGCTCCATCCACTGAGCCAAACCGGCCAGGGCAGCAGGTGATAATTTAATAAATAATTTTGAAAATAAGAATGAGGCCCTGGCAGGGTGGCTCAGTTCATTGGAGCATCATTCCCATGCACATACAGAGGTTGCAGGTTCAATCACTGGTCACAGGCGTGTACAAGAGGCAAACAATCGATATTGCTCATATTGATGTTTCCCTTTCACACTCTCTCTCTCTCTATCTCTTCCTCTCTCTAAAATAAAAAAAAATAAACATATCCTCAGGTAAGGATTAAAAATAAATAAATAAATACCCACAAAAGTTATTAAAACTAAATTTTTTTTTAAAAAAAAACATGGGTTCTAAAATTGTTTCCCATCAAGAAATGGAGTCTAACTTCATCAGTGTGGCTCAGTGGTTGAGCATCAACCTATGAGGCAGGAGGTCATGGTTCAATTCCCAGTCAGGGCACATGCCCCAATTGCGAGCTCAGTCCCCAGTGGGAGGTGTGCAGGAGGCAGCGGATCAGTGACTCTCATTATTGATGTTTCTATCTCTCCCCATCTCCCTTCCTCTCTGAAATTATTAAAAATATATTTTAAAAAAGGAAGAGGAGGAGAAGGAGAAGGAGGAGGAGAAGAGTCGTCCTAGCCGGTTTGGCTCGGTGGATAGAGTGTTGGCCTGTGGACTGAAGGTTCCGGGGTTCGATTCTGGTCAAGGGCACATGCCCAGGTTGTGGACTCGATCCCCAGTAGGGGGCGTGCAGGAGGCAGCCGATCAATGATTCTCTCTCATCATTGATCTCTCTCTCTCTCTCTCTCTCTCTCTCTCCCTTCCTCACTGAAATCAATAAAAATATATTTTAAAAAAAGAAGTGGAGTCTATGTCCTCTCTTTTTGAATTTAGGCTCCCTAGACTAAAAGAATATAGTAAAAGAAAAGGGGGGTTGAGGGAGGTAGAGAGGGGATAAATGGTGATGGAAGGTGATGTGACTTGGAGTGGTGAACACACAATACAATATACAGATAATGTATTATAGAATTGTACACCTGAAACCTATGTAATTTTATTAACCACTGTTACCCCAATAAATTCAATTTTTAAATGAATTTAAGCCCTAGTGGGTTGGCTCAGCGGTTAGAGCATCATCCCCTGGCTGAAGGGTCTTGGGTTTAAATCCAGTCATACCTCAGTTACAGGCTTGATTCCTGCCCCAGTCAGGGTGTGTGTTGGAGGCAACCAATCCATGTGTCTCTCTCACATCAATGTTTCTCTCTGTGCGTCTCTCCCCTTCCCTTCTACTCTCTCTAAAAATCAATGGAACAAATATCCTCGGGTAAGGGTTAACAACAACAAAAAAGAATGTAGTGAAAGCAACAATACAACAATTCCCACATCCAACTTTTAAGAGACTGGCAGGTTCCACATTTTCTTGGGATGCTGCTCTTGGAATCCAACCTCCTTAATTCCAAAAAGATAAAAGAAACTGCAAAATTAATTCTCTGAAGCATTTGAGATTTTGCTTCCCAGCAATTGTCATCAGTTTAACTCAAATAAAATCTAATAAAAATTATATGCAGGTATGCCCTGGCCAGTGTGGCTCACTTGGTTGAGCATTGTCCCATGCACCCAAAGGTTGCTGGTTTGATTCCCAGTCAGGGCACATGTCTGGGCTTTGGCTCCATCCCCAGTAGGAGTTGTGCAGGAGGC